AATATAAGAATCCAGAAATCAATATGTAAGTAAAGTCCTTATACTTTAACCTTACAAGATTTAGTTCTTAATTGCCATCAAAAATAAATACAATTAGGCAAAACTTAAATACATAGAACATTACATATTTGTTTGGCATCACTTGACGTAAAATCATTCCGTAGTTTCGCCATGGGTACTAAACTATTTAAAATTTCTGGTAGCAGTAGTGACAATTAATGAATATTAAAATTAGAATATACATACATATTAAGCAAATATTTGTAAAAACCATTAATACTGTACGTAAAATAAGTCTAAGTATAAATTGTTAATAGATCTATAAAGTATATTAATTAAATTAAAATACCTAAACATGATTAAATTTCAGATTAACTTGTCAATTACCAAATCATTTTAACACTTTATAGAGTGAAAGGATAGTTTCTAATTTTTGCGAATTCGTATTCGTGGTTAGAAGCTTATGACAAAAAGATGACCAATTACAATAAAGCCCACTATCCCGTGTAACATTGAACGTTATGTGCAAATTTTGTTTCACAAATCGAAACGCGTCTTAATTCAACTCTATATCGTTTTAAAAATGTTTAGAACACGGCAAGTCACAAATTACACTAAAGAAAAAAAAAAAGCTTTACAAATCTTGGAAGAAACTAATATCCTTGATAAGCTTGGCTTCAAAAAATACGACAATGGTCCTCCACGTTTGGGGTGGCTCATTAATATGAGTGGTGTTAGTAGGCTTCTTTTTTTTTTTTTTTATCGAATCTTAAAGCAAACCTTTAAATTTTGTAATAAATTATTATAATTTGACGATAAAAATCATAGACTATTATACCCAGCCAACAACATTCGTCCGGTAGAACAGCATTCGATCTTTTTTTTATAGAGCCTCAAACTGGAATAGATTCATACTTCAGATGTACAATATATTATTATCCATATTTTTTTGTTCAATGTCAGGTGAGAAATATATTTAAAAGTTGTCTAGCTGGTAATAATTTACAATACTTAATTTCATTGGTTTAATAGCCCGGAACGGAACATACCGTTGGAGAATA